GCCAACAGTGTTTGTTGTTATAGTAGTATGATTGATTTGCCCAGAGGTGATTTATTGTGTGACCTTATTGCAGCGGCAAGGTACGACCCCGTGTTTCTGTCCATGTGACGGCGGAGCTAGACAAGTCTGTTGGGTGGTCCGGGTTATCGGGCCTTTATAATCATTTCTTCAGTTTCCTTCCCTCCCACACCTTTTCCAGACTCAGACTTTGACTTCCGTGTTGAAGCCCACATAAAAGTATTTTGTAATTTCACTGCAGTAACACCTTAAATGAGCACACTCACCTGAGCAGATTTATTACCAAAACAAAGCATTTATTTAACCCGGAAAAGCTATTTTTGTATTCCTATATCAGAAACGCCAAGTTCTGTCTTTGCATTCAATGAAATGTTGTCCAATCCGAGATAGACATAAAATATTAACATAAAACCAGCCGCAACTATCGCATCAAATTCACTGTGAATGACAGCGTTGCTGAATAGATATTCTCATCCAGCAGGTCGGGAATAGGAAGCGCCGTGTCTTAAAATGGTGGCAGGCAAAATAAATGAGCAAGGAGGTCTATCTACCTGAGATAGAAGGGACCCGCGCTAATGAAGAGGGAAATGAGTGAACGGGCGAGACAGCTAGTGCGTGGGTGTTTGAGGCAAGTGTGCGACTGAGCCGAACAAGTGAGGGAGAGTGAGCCTCGGCGGCGCTACCTATCAGGGAGGGCAGAAAGCGATAGTTAGGCGTGAAGACCATACGTCAATGGGCCCTAATTGAGCGCTTCCCCTCCGTTCCCCACTTGCCACTGACACGTCGCCCCCAGGGCCTATTGGGAGCTCGCCGGCTCCCCGTCACATAGAAAACGGATGATAAGGGGGGGGGAGGAGGATGGTGCTCGTTGTCTCCTCCTTCCGTGAGTTCAGACCTGGTGCAGCCCTCGCAACTTCAGGTTGATGTTTCCTGTAACATTTGAAGGAAGCAAAGTTGCCGACTCGGCTTTCTCCTAAACACTGCAAATGGTTTTGGGCCGAAGGCTCGAGTGGCAGAATTGTGACCACAAAACTGCTCAATCGAGTTGCTGGACAGGCTGTGGAAGCAGAAGATTGGAAAAACACTCCTCTTTAGCGAGGCACTGAAATTGGACCGTATACGTTAATTAAGAGATTATCAAAACATATTTACCTCATTCACCCTCTGATAACAGCTGTCATGGCACCAGTTGTTATATATATATATATATATATCTTCTTAGTTAGTCTTAAGTGGTCATAAGTGTTGTTGGCGATGAGGTTAAATGTTCATGTCCACATATTTCTTTGGGTACCCCAAGTACTTTGGGTGCTTTGGACAGAGCACAATAAATGCAGCCTTCGAGCCCAGTAATGTGGCATGACTACTTTAAGGAGACCAAAATAGACTTGATTGGGATTTTCCCTTTTAGTTTAAACCATTCATACCATTCATATTGCTGTTTAACTGCTTAAATAGACTGCAATGTAAGACCTGTAAGATCATTTTAAACAGCAAAAGTGAGATATAACTAATAATCTCATTTGCAACAACCCATTGTCTTTGGACGTTTTCTACCAAAAGGTAAAGTTAAATGAGTACTTCTGTAAGGGTAAATTGAAACCGCGTTAAACTCAGCTGATCATGATCTATATTTTAATACCTAAAAGAGACCTACACAAAAAGACAATTGATTTATTTTACCTATATTCAATTTAAATAACTTTAATACATATATATCAATACAAAATGTGCCTGTGGAATAAAGGCTTTTCAAACAGAAATGCTGAATACATCATAGAATCAGATTTTGTCAGAACATTTGAGCAATGAGAAGCAGGTGGAGAGCACAGCAAGGTTGAGAGGTGTGCACACAATACACGCTCACATTCATACATACAAACACGCGTGTGCACACACACACACACACACACACATACACACACACACACACACACACAAACTGCTTTGTTCCCCCCGGGTAGACTATGGAGCCGTCAAAACCACTCTGATTCTGAATTAGCTCTGATTGGCTGTCATTGCAGTGTGTCCCACACAGCTGAGACCACTCAAAACCACACACACATAGACACAGACACACACACGCACACTTTTATGGTCTGGGTATCATGTTTCACTAAACTGCTGAGTTCTCTAGACTGTAACCAGGGCTGTTTTAAGAACTGTGGTTGAGTTTAAATGTGCATCTTTGTGTTTGTATGTGTGTGTGTGTGTGTGTGTGTGTGTGTGTGTGTGTGTGTGTTCACATCTGTCTGTGTGATTACATTAAATGTATTTAGTATATTTACTCAAAATTTCAGATGGTCGGGCAGTTTGTCGTGCCTCTTACAACCTTTAGATATACTCCAAGGATCCACACAAGGCTATAATGTATCTTGACGTGTTTAATATATTTCAGAAACAACAATCTACTGGAACATCAGTTCAGTACAGCTCGGGATCTGTGAAAATGCCTTTTTGTCACTCCGAAGTCATTTCAAAGCTCTCGAATCTGTTGTGCGAACCCTACAGAGAGTAAAGGAAAGGAATTGTTTTAACACTGCCCTCCTCTATCTGATTAGGAAGTTGTGTTGATGTTAACATAAAAGGTTGCTCTGACGCCACAAGCGTGCATGCTAAGCAAAATGAGAGGCCAAGAAAAGCAGAGGCGCCCACCTCCAAAGGGATTCACACCGCCAGCAAAGACCTGCAGGGCTGAACCGGCGGGGGTTTCCAGTCTTAGCTGGCTGTTTTGGGGTTGGACATCCATGTAACAAGCCCACGTCTCTGGTTAGAAATATGTCTCGGTAAGCTTCATTCTAATTCCGAAACTCAAGCTGGGAGCAGCAAAAATAAGCAAAACGAGAAAGCGGGAGAAGGTGTAAAAAAAAGATTCCATTGAAATGTTCAAATACAAAACTAGATTCCATCTTTAGAGGCCTCGGTATCGGGTTCCTCAATGAGGAGCACGACCACGTCAAAAGGGTCCCACTAAGAATGGAAAGTGGTACTCCTTAAGAAAGCAGACACACATGTGCAGTAGCATGCATAAACACACTCATTAGTGCATAGTGTGTGTGTGTGTGTGTGTGTGTGTGTGTGTGTGTGTGTGTGTGTGTGTGTGTGTGTGTGTGTGCGTGTGTGTGTGTGTTGTGAGATCTAAACAGGGTCCTCCATACGGGAATGCCAAGTAATCCTGGCAAGAAATTTCTCTTCTGATGCTCTCTTTTTTTATTTGTGATGCGTGACTAGCCTCTAGTGGCGTTATACAAGACTACACTCATGATATTTACAGGTACACGCTGCTTTTACAGGTCCATGCTGCATACACTAATAGATCCAGACACTGTCCCCCAAAACAATCACCCTTTGTGTGCCCACTGGTGGTTTTCTCCCTCTGGTTCTCAAAACACTGAACCTTGCACTCTGTAATTAGCTGTGTTACACCTTATATTTACTCTAAATAGTAGCTATGTCATCTTTGTTAGTTCCTCCTCACCATCCTGTCTTTCAAACATCTCCCACAAACCGCTAATGAAATGTCTGAAGCTGGGAAAGTGCACATGCATTGTTCTAGTTTTTGAGGAGATCGGCTTTTATGTCTGCCATTACATGGATTGCAGTCAGAACGCCTCACTTCAGGCTGTTTTTATTTTAGAACTCAAGTTCAGTAGAGCGCCAACGTCAACATATCAACCTCGTATATCACAGTACTGTAACCACCAAAAAAGGAATTCACATGGTAAACGCAATGAACCATGGTTTAAACAGGACAACATGGGGACAAAAGAAACATCTTCATAAAAGTCCTGGGAAGGTACCACCATTACCACCAGCAGTCTGCAACCCTGCTCAAAGCCGTGGTTTACTTAAATGGAATAAGTTGACGGATGTAGCATTTAATCAATCGTGAGCCCTGCTTAGCCACAGCAAACCATGACACATTGTATACCGAATGATATGTGCGAGTCCTCAGCGTTCCTTCTTTTTGGCTTTGTTGTATGTAGTCACACCAACTGAAACTTCATTGTATTTGCCTTCATTGTATTGGATTTTCTAAAGTCGCAACATGACAAAGTCGAGCAAGACACCCGACCCCTAATTGCTCCCCGGGCAAAAGTGTATAAAGCCATGGGTTAAAAGTGCAATGTAAGTCGCTTTGGATAAAAGCGTCAGCTAAATGACCTGTAATGTAATGTACACTATAGTCTTGTAAACTGCCACCACACTGGCTCACTCTCAGCTGTAATTCCACCACAGAAGGGACCCTTTACTAAATTCAATAGAAAGCTCTTTTTAAAGAGCAAAGCCTACGCAACACTCCCGTTTCAGTTGAAACTACTAGTGGGTTTCAGGTCAGACATGTCACGCATTACAGGAGAAGTTGGTTTAAAAAAATCCACACTTGGTTCATGGACTATATAGAGCAGTCTGGCCTGCAAGGGACAATAACCTTAGGGCCCAATTTGATCGTCTATTAAAACAAATTACTCTTTTCAGCTATGCTTCACAGTGCACCTTTAAACCCATTTGCAGTGTCTCACCAAAATAACATAAGTGCCATTGGGGGAGTGGGGGGGGGGGGGCACCATTTGTGAGGTGTTAAGATATACATAAGCAGTACATGGGTGAAGCGTGTTATGGGTGCACTATAAACTGTATTTACTTCTAGTTAATGCGGGACGACTTGTCTGATGTTTATGCCAAGATTCATTCATTCATTTCTCGTCCCTAAAAGCAGAACAGTCACTCAGTTGAGCCAGAAAACTTTAGGACATTGACAGGAATGGTTGGTTTCGCCAAACCTGGATTAACTTTGCCGGTGACTTTGGTGGCCGGTGAGCTGAAACCACTCAAAATGCTGTTAACCTGTTTCTAAACAGGAAGAACAGGTCAGAACAGGCGTGTTCATTGAAACTACACACACCCCCCCCCCCCCCCGGTTTGTTTACGAAGAACCAGTTTCCTTCTTTTAGATGGAACTTCCCTCAGTGCAGCGCATGTGACGTGCACTCACATAGGAAGTCAACTGCAGGGCGGAACACTTCAGGGACATTTCACCAGAAGAGGTCTGCCACTGACAGGAATACTCCAAATACTATACCACGTTGCACGGGACCACCCTGTTGAGCAGGACAACCGAAATCATCTCAGGGAAGCCAATGCGTTTCAACCGGAAAATGTGGACAAGTTGCAGCACCTGGGGATATAACTCAATTGTTTTCTAAAGGATCTGGCTGAGGAGGTCTATCGGGGTTGAGAACGTCCGCTTTGGTTCTGAGGCCTTTTCGACAGCCTTCTGGGTTCATTTGAACCCAAATCATGACGTTTTTCTCTACTAAATAGGCTGTTCCTTCTTCCATGTGACAAGTCTCACACACGACACTCAGGAAATCCGGTACTGTCTATCCTCAACCACTAGAGGGTAACGTTTGATAACAGAAAGGAAGTATTTCTTTCTATTATTTACAATAGTTATACTGAATTTAAAATATAACATTTTTTATATATATTATCGAATAAGTGAGTCGTTTGTTATCTCTGTAAACTACTTTTGTTACAAGCTAACACCAGTTAGTTAGACAAAATTCAAATGAGAGGAACTGATTTAATAGTTTTATGGTCTAGTATGGTGGTGCTAACCAAGACACAGTAATACACTTTTAATTGAGTCTTTTGAGTTGTAAATTCTGGGAAGGATATGAGGAAACGAATTAGAAGTATCATGATCGGTCATTAACAACAGGTGTGAGGCCGAACCCCATCAGCTGACGTGAGAAAGGAAGCTGCTGCCAGGAAAGGTCGTGTTGCTCTATTGTTTGGGAAACATTTGACTTGTAAAGAAATATGAGGGCGGCAGAGCTGTAACCAGAGCGGCTAAGTTTACAGAACTCAACTTCAAGGGAGGAAACATGTTGCAAAAAATCTTTCACGGATTGGCCCTTTTTGCTTTTTTAAGTGTGGCCTGTTTCATTCTGTTTCTATTCAACAACCAAGAAAACACTTTTAATCTTTTTTCAAAGTCTTATCGTCTTCAAAATCGCAGCGACACACTTCCCCAAGTCCTAAATGCTAGTCACATAGAGACACCGATGCCACCCACTAAAATCACGACTTTGGGACGCTGTCCCGAAACCCCCCCGGATCTTGTGGGTCCAATGCTTGTGGAGTTTGCTTCTAAACGGACTCTGGATCAGGTGAAAGAGCAATATGGTTATGCTCTTCAACAAGGGGGCCGGTACAAGCCGTCGGACTGTATCGCACAACAGAAGGTAGGTGATGGAACGGACAAACTAAAAGGAGCAGTTTCGCATTAATTGTAAATACTCTTTTAGTCAATATGTATAAAAACTGAACTGAAGGAGGAAATGTTCCTGCCATAAAAGCTCACAAATATTTCACCTGTGTTTACACGTTGATGTATTTTGTATGGAAATTGATATTAAGTGTTCACGGAGCACAGTCAACGCATATACGCCTGTCGTGAATGGACCTACACTCAATTTACTTAAGGATGGGTTTTCTTGTCTGTATTTAGCATTCAATTATATTTTATATATATTATTATATTTTACTTACTTTACTATATTTTACTATGTTATGTTATTTTCTCTTTTGAAAAAATAAAAATGCAAAAAAGAACCTGAATATGCACAATAGTTAGTTATTAGTTATTAGTGCACTTTTATGTGGGCCTACTGTTCAAGTTCAGTAAAAAAAAAAAAGCACGTTCTATAATTTCACTTCTATGAGACGTAATATTACAATGGGTTTTAAGGATTTCACACACCACATTGTCATCGTATTTCATTAAAGGGAAACCCACCAAATCTTAATTATCTGATACATTTATGGTAAATGTTAACGTATTTCATTTGTTTAGGTGGCGATCATCATCGCGTTCCGCAATCGGCACGAGCACCTCATTTATTGGCTGCATTACCTCCATCCGATACTGATGCGACAGCAGTTGGACTACACGGTGTACGTCATCAACCAGGATGGAGAGGGCGTGTTCAACCGGGCTAAACTGATGAACGCAGGCTACGTGGAAGCAATGAAGGAGTACGATTACGACTGCTTTGTCTTCTCTGACATAGATTTGGTCCCTATGGACGACCGTAACCTCTACAGGTGCTTTGACAACCCTCGACACTTGGCTGTGGCCATGGACAAATTCAACTTCAACTTGCCCTACAACTCGTACTTCGGCGGAGTTTCCGCGCTGTCTAAAAGCCAATACCTGAAGATCAACGGCTTCCCGAACACCTACTGGGGCTGGGGGGGTGAGGACGACGATATCTACGGGCGAATCGTCTTCCGCGGCATGAGCATTTCTCGACCCGACTCCGTGATCGGAAAGTACAGGATGATCAAACATAACAGGGACCTGCACAATGAGGCTAATCCAGAGAATCCTGGTAAACTACGCCAAACCGCACAGACCATGGACAAAGACGGCCTCAACTCTCTCAAATACACAGTCAAAGAGATTAAGAAGGACGTACTGTACACCTTCATCAACGTGGATATTGAGGCCCCGATAAAATGACGGAAGATGGAACCCGTGGGTCTCGGACTGCTGTGATTTATTGGTCTTTCAGGATTTATTAATGTGAGGGCGTGTTCTGTAGTGCTGCTGTTTGTCTTGGTGTATGCACACCTGTGCTTGTGTGTGGGCCGAAATGAACTTAAGTGTACGTAATGAATACTGAGTGCAGATGTGCAGTTTTGTTTTTTTATCAGTTGCTTCGGCACAATCCTCAAATAACCGCTGTTACTCTGAAAATAGAAAGTGAATTATTTATGGAGGTCATTTCTCATGGCTTCCACACATAATGTGAATGTGGAGGATCCTTTGAAGGCACCTGTGGAGCGTCGGGCCGCTCTGTGGATTCGGAGACCCCAACTGCTCATGAGGAAAGCTGGCAGTTTGGATAAGTAGACTCATCCATTTATATATATATATATATATATATATATATATATATATATATATTACACGGGAGTATAATAAATATAGGGTTTTATATTGTGTCATTTAGACAATATTTTTCTAAATTCTACTGTTTTTTGTGAATACAATTGTCTTCACTGTACAATGCGGTGATGAAATAAAAAGGCGAAAGGTCATTTTGGTGGCAGGGACGCACAGGTTGATGTATCTTATTTATTTGAGGATGGTGGGCTTTCTTTCTTTTATTCATGGTTATTTATTCATGGGTTTTTGGAACAAAATGGTGTTCTGCATACCTGATGTCTTCAGTTAAGATGTCTTCTTTGCTGCTATACAAAATAATATTTCACCAAATACAAAATGTTCCTATTTACAGTTGTTTTGAACTGAGGTATAATAAATTCTGCAAGTTTCAATCAAGGCTACTGTTCTACTTGTCTTGGCTCATTACAGGTAATGTGTATTACTGGAAACCTGGACCTGCTGTAACTGATATGAAAGCAGGAAAAGGGAAATTTCAATCTCCACTTGCTTTCATTTTTGAAAGTAACCTTAAAATAATGAAATTCCAGGTTAGTGGTCTGTTTTGCTTAAACTCTACGCCCTCAAGGTTCCAAAGGGCTTGAATTACCAGTTAAAGTATCAAATTGTAATACTACTTTTGTTTATTCCACCAAGCAGGTTCCTTTTGTGGTAACTGGTAAATGTTGAGTGCTAAATTCAAGACATTGTGCTGTGTATCACACATGAAATGAAATCTCTCTCCCGACCTTTTAAAGTCATCATTCATCTTGTGACTCATAATTCAATTCATATTCTAATCTGCAGCTAACAAGGTCCCATTCAGTTTGGATCATAACTAAACATTCTTACCCGGAAACTATTATAAACCGGATATGGCTGTGGCGCTAAAGCTTTCCTGTTCTGCGTGCTCCCATTTTTCACACTGAGCCAAAGAGCCCTGCCCGTTCACAGCTTGTCTGATGGTAAATTATTGACAAGTGGAGGGATTACACAACATTGCCCCCGGAGGAGCCGTGGCAGTGTACCAGAGAGTAAAGCACAGCAATGGGGTGGGGCAAAATGGTTGAGTTAGTGGAGGTGAAAACCAGTGGTACGGAGTGGAACCTTTCCATGACTTGTTGGAGTGTTCAGAACGACTACTGTGCGTGCACTCCAACATTTTGGTTAGTGCCTGTTATCTGTATGAATGTTCATTCGAATTACAGCAACCCCCCAAACACGCGCCCATCCTCCTTCCTGCCCAGCCCCCTCTTTTCATTGGTTGACCTAGTAGAGTTACTATGGGAACAACTGCAGAGAGGCTGCCATGAGAAATGTGGGGTGCAGCTTAGGTCTCCATCACACACACACACGCACACACACATTTAACTTGGCAAGGTAACCCTACCTGTAATTATTTTTTTAAATATCACTCCACTCCATGATAACATTTATGGCAAGTTAGCCAGAGCCTAACCCTGTAACGCTTTTATTTATTCAAATTCTTATCTTTTTGTCTCACACCACACCAGAGGTGTGTTTTTATGACGGGCAGTGTGAAATGTGTCTGCCGGCTGGCGACAGAGCACACATACAGTACATGCACGATGTTATTGTCTGTATTTTCTAAACAGCTGACACTGTACGTCTGACACTGACAAATTTCCTTCGGGACAATAAAATCTAATTTTTCTCCACCGATATCTGTAATACATTGGTAGAGAGGGAATCTTCGTTGTTCTTTCTGAGAAGGCCAAATGAAGTTTTGCTCTTCATATGTATATTCCCTTCTATAAGAGAAATGTCTGTCTACTTTATAGTAAAACATGAACACCTAATTGAATACTAACACAATATAGTTTCATTACAATGGCCTGGCTTGAAACTGAGAATCAGCAGACACAAACATCCCTTAAACACAGACAAAACATCTAAAGTAGTGGATCAAAACACACTCATAATCCATGGAATTGATGGGAAAAAAAGTCTCACTCACACCTCACATTTCAAACTATGCTGCCTTTTAAAGAACATTCATATCCTTAAAAGCAAAGTAAAGTAAAGCTTGTATGCAATAATTGATGTAACACCATAAAAATTCACCTGTGTTTCCTTTAGTACACTCATGAGTGTAGCTAATGGCAAACTGTAGACAGAAGATGCACTAACTTATCTTATTGAGTCAGTTTGCCGACCCTTCTCTTCTGGTGTTACTAGCACGGGAAGCTTACCACTAGGCCATTATTGCCACCTGTGGGTGCTGTTAACCAGATGGCTATATAAGCTGGCTAAAAACCCTTCAAGCAAGCGAATAGACCCAGAAAAAATCCCTTACTCGCATCGCATTCCCTCACTTCTCCATTACATTTCTTTGTCACTCCCTCGCATGTTTGCTCCCTTCGACGGCGCATTTTATGAAACTTATTGTTTGGCACAATGTTGATCCTCCCTGTCTCGTGCCACATTAATGCACCAAAAACAAACACGCACCCATGTCCTCAAACGAGGCTCACAATGAGGACGAGTGTCCACATCCAGCACCCGGGCAGCAGCAGATTAATGATGAGATCAGCCAACGCACACAATTCTCGCTGTCAGCATCACTGGCCTTGATCCGGCGGGCTGGTACAACTGAGTGTTACGGTATTACGTAATGCTTCTACATAAAGCTCAGCGTGCAGAACCAGAGGGAGAAGGAGCTGGATAGAGGGGAGGGAGGTAGGTGGGGAGGATGGGGGGGGGGGGTTGCTGCACCATTCAAAAAGGGGATTCGCACTGCACCAAATCCTCCTCCCACCACACGTGCCTGCGCACCCACAACGCAACAACATATGAGCTTCCTCCACGTGTGTTTCCCTCAAAACAACGAGACCCACATTAGAGGACACGAGGATGCAAACACGCAGGTTCGTCGTGCACAGGCAACAGCCGCCCGTCTCAGTCCTCATTTTGTCCCTGTCTCTGTGCAACTTTACCCCCCCAGAGGCCAACGGCAGACAATTACACATCACATCAGGCTTAATCTAGTCCAAGCGGACCCCTCACCACACAAACGCCACATTCACAACCTCTCTCACACCCAACCTGCTCCGTGGAGACTCAGGCCACCTGGGGGTTTCGGGAGGAATGATGAGAGGCTTCGTCTGATTTTGCACTAATTTATACAATCACACAAATCTTCTGACATGGAGTGTATGAGTTACTGTGTGAATGCGGTTAAAAAGAGACGGGAGCAATCAGCGCAAATAGTTTTATTCATTAAATATGAAAAAAGTGGAAAGATCTTCACACTGTGAACAAACAGACTGTTAAAAAAAGAGGAAACCTAATGTGCTTTTTCATCACAGCAATTGACCACATATTAAAGGCTCAGATTTCAGAAAGAAAGAAGAAATGCATCTACAAAAAATATACAAGTGATTTGAGTGGCAATGTGATGCATCTGTGGTTGATGTTATTACTGTGTACAGGCCAATGCAACTGATAAAGGTACCCAAACGTTTCTTGTCACTGTCATACTTGGAAAACGTGGGAAAAACAAGTTCTACTAAAACACCAAGTTGCAGCATATGTGACGTTAACCGAGTGGGAGGCCACATTTAAACTAAAAACTGATCATTCCTTTTCTCTACCTTAACAGTGATATAATTAGATTGGTGACAGTGTCACAAAAAGGGAAATTATCATCTGTTTAGGTCAACATTCAACAAGCATCACCCCAGCTGTTACAAAAAAACCCTCTTTTTAATGATTTATCCAAGGAATACTTTAAAGGTTCAAAACGGTTTCACCCCTAAATCATCCATCTATCCCTCTTTTTTCAAGCGGTACTCTGACGAAAGGAAGATGTGATTACACACTAAGGGCAAAGAGGATACAGAAGACGTGGACGGACATGATCTTTGTCTGCTCCCTTGATGACCTTTGGCCCAAATGAGAATCACTCTCACTGTAGACCTGGGATCAGGCATCTCCGTGCCCTGTCCTGCACTACGTTATTCAAATGGTTGAACGGTTATCTGAACCTGGAACCAGTCGGCGCGGATCAATCCTTACATTCTAAATGAGACGGAAAGCTGTCCTGAACTAGAATGACCCTCAAAGGTCGTTAGTATCCTCGTGGTAAAGATTAGAGAAAACTTGCATCATCTCAAATGTGTTTCGCTACAAACGCCCTCTGTGTGACTGAAGGGTAAGGAACACTGTGCTCCCTTTAACTTGACTCACTGCATCGCAGACAAAGGCCTTACAGCACTGCAATACACCCCCTCGTTATTAAAACAAGTGCTGCTTTGGCAGACTCAACGCACTGTGCAGCAGATCTTCAGAGCACGGGGGACTTGGAAAACAGTGAACTCAACCGTTCGTCTTGCCCCCACAAAAGAGGGACAGAAGAGAAAAACAAAAGGGACCAACACAGATGACCTAACGGTCTCCGATGATGACGAGCTACATTCAGATTCACTCACAGCTGCGGGGGTCCGTTCAATGAAGCTGTACGTTTGTTTGTAAGTACAACAGAGAGTGAGGCAAAAGCACTCTGACCTCATTTAGAAATAGTCCCCAGGTTTTACTTTGCATTTTAAGCCGTGATCCAGATAATGATGTGACTCAGAAGTATTTCACTGATCCGAAACCCTGAATTTCTTTTGTGTTTTTTTCTGGATCACATCTGATTTTAAAACTCTTGCAGGCATATTCTGGCTCTCTAAAAGTGGCAGACAGCAACGGAGTCTCCACCTCAGCCACTCGCATCGGCTTAAACAGCGTGTTAGCAGCGAAGAACAGAAGCTGGTGCAATCACAGTTTAAGATCTGAGCTGTATGACCTATGAAAGACGAATGGTTGTTTAGTGTCCTTGCACAAGAAAGTCAGCCAGTGTAGCTACGAAGACGGTGCCAAATGCTGAACAGTGTGTGTGACTTGGTTCATTCAGCATTAGATGATGTTCCCTGACCTTTGTGCCTTGTATGTGCGGCACTGCATGCAAAGAGGGAGGGAAAAATGCTTGTGTGCATGTCGGAAATTGCATGTGTGTGTTTGTGTATGTGCGTGTGTGTTTTGAAGCATCAGCGCACGGGATCCCTCCAGGTTGAGTATTGCGACAGTTCTGCAGGCTTTCATTGGTTATTCAACAGTTGTAAATCCCAGAGATTGACATCCTATGGATGCACTTTTAGTGAAATCCAGATGGCTGAAGCCAAACTTTGTCCGTCCACAAGAATAATAATTATAATGAAAATCGCCAGTCAAAACAGAGAACAGCTCCCCGTCCTCAATAAAAAGGAAAAAAAAGAAGATATTATGTGGCCTCCTGTCGTGCAACTTTGCAATATGTCTAGCTGCAAAGATCTCAGTGTTTATTTGATGGTCTGCACATACGGTTTAATAATCAGTGTGCGGTCAGAACAAAACCATCTTCAAAAATCAGAAAAAACAGCCAAACTAAAAAATGCTGTGTTATTCCAGACTGTGGGTTTTGTTGAATCTGTTAAAGAGAAAATGAGGAGGATTTTCTAACTTTGGCTCAAAAATCAAAAGATTTAGAGGTAATTTGTTACAGATTAGACAAGATGACAATTTTAGAAAAAACAACGTTGATTAGATTAGGTCCGTATAAACAAATTATGAGATACCGTGTGGGGTTTCATAGTAAAAGATAAAAGGTGCTCTGCTTTTCTCCTTTTTCGCAGCGTGCAGTCGTTGTAGCTGTCAATCTCTCAACAGGTCAGGAGCTTTTCCAGGAAGTTACAAGGCAAACGTGTCAATAGCGAGTCCATGGATTGTCAAAAGTCGACCTCTTAAGTTCCAGGGAGGGAGCCGCGAAGTGTGAACCCGGCTTTTTTGAGTCTCCCTGCGACTTTCTAGAGTGAACAAAACCACCTATTCAATCCCGGCCCTGTCGTGAGCCAGAACTCTCTCTGAATGAGTGTTTTTCATGGGAATTTGTAAGCCGTTAACTCTACAGCTCAACATTTTTTCTTGGTCTGGGAAAACTTTTGGCTCTGCTTATACACTCGAGTCTTTCTGCCAGCGGGAGAAATCCCCCCTCCATGTGACAGGAGCTACTTCTTGTGGGCGGCTCCTCTGGTTGTGCTGCCAGGTTTGTTCCCGGAGCGTCGGACCGGCACCTTGGATACGGGGATCCTGGTGCGAACCGGGGGAGGCGCCTGGGTCTTTGGTGGAGGGGATTCAGCCTCTAGGACGGACGCCAGGGCCGACTGGCTTACAGAGTGGGGAGGCGAGGTCTGTCTGCTGCTTACTGGGATCTTGGAATCCCGGGGAAGGCTCGTGCTGCCTTTCAACGACTGGAAGGAGGAAGAGGAGGAAGAGGAAGGGGGAGATGTTTGGGAGGTGGGGCTCAGCTTGTATTCACTTGATGGAGAAGGAGTGCTGTTCAGATCTTCATCTCCCTCCTGCTCCACATCCTCTCCCGCCCCCTCGGGGTCGTTGTAGAGGTCGTACAGGTGGTCTCCAGAGCAACTGTCGCGTGTCAGGGCCGTCTTCCGGTTGCGCTGCTGCCCGCTCTCGTCGGGTGTTGCCGTGGGCGTTGCCGTGGGTGTGTCCCAGTAACCCTCGTCGCTCAGCGGCTCTTTCTCTCCGGGTGATGCGGCGTGACGGCCGTGCGCGTGAGGGATGGGGGGCTTAGCTGCCCGGCCCCCCGCTGCACCAACCACGGGAATCTTACTGAGGCCCAGTGCCTTCACCGGGGGTAACCTACGGTCGGCACTCCTGTGGGCGGAGAGCAGGTGGCAGCCGGCCGCGTTGGTCGTCGCCCGAGGGGGATAAGTGGAAGTCGGGGTGGTGGAGGGAGTTTGGTGCGACCGAGGCAAAGCGGGGGAGTTGTCGCCCGTGGAGGGAAGCATGTGCCAGAGGCCCTGCATGTCCGCGTCGTCCACTCCCTCCGGACTCGCCATTTCTTCCCCGCCGCCCATGTAGGCCACCACGCCGCTGCCAGCCGGGTGCGGCTGCGGCGGTGGCGGTGCTCGGGCCCGGGCTGGGAGGGAAGAAGGCAGCGAGGTCAGGGGGACGGAGAACATTGGCTGGGTCGGCTGCGGAGGTAGGTAGGGTTTGGTCGGGGAGCCCCGAGACGTGGCACCGGCGATACCAACAGCTCTACCAACGCACACTCCCCCATTCCCCCCTCCTCCCCCGCTGCTGCTGCTGCTGGTGCCACTGCCCCCGTTGCCCCCTGGCCCGTCCTCCTCTGCGTCGGCAATAATGTCGCCACAACCCGTCAGTGAATCGAAGCTCTTGAGGGACGTGACGTCAGTGAAGAGGAGGGAGCAGAGGCGGTCCACCGAAGGTTCCGATGGGGGGTCACCGTTGCTGCAGCGATCCAAAGGGGGTGTGGCGAGGGAGGGGGTGAGGCTGGAAATTGAGGCTTTGGCTTTTTGGGTGGGGGGGCGCAGTGGGGAGTCGGTGGGTGTGTAAGGAATGGGGGAGTCCGGCTCACAAGATTGCCCTGGCATGGCAACAACACACAGAGGTGGTGTTATGGTAACACTAGTACTATGAGTCTCTGGGTCAGGTGATGCAGCTGCATCCCCACAATCCACTTGGTGATGGTGCGGAGGCGGTTCAAGGGTGAGCGTAATGTCCTTTGCCCTTTCGGGGTCGCCGACCTCCCCATCCTTTTCCGCCTTCCGCTCCGCCTCTTCCGCATCTACCTCGTTTGTTTTTTCCTTGCGTCTCCATCGCATGCTGCTAAAAAAGCCCTTTAAGCCCCTCCCTCTTCTAACAAGCCCCGCCCCTCCATTTTCACCCGACCTGAAACTCCCACGCCGGAGTAAAGAGAAGAAACTCAGGGATTTGCTGAGGGATCTTACCGGCCCGGCCTCCAGGATGGCGAGCCCTTCCCCTCGCTGTCCATCAGCGTCGCTATTAGAGCTCGTTAGTCCATCGTGGGTTTTGCTCCGGACGAGCTCGGCCGAGGCCGCTGAGCCGTTCCCATTCACAGAATTCCCATTGTCAGGGTTCCCGTTGCTCCCGCCGTTGGTAGCCCCTTTGTTCCTGAAGGAGAAGAAGCTGGCCATCCCGGACCCGGTGCGCCGCTTCCCGAAGAGTTTGAAGGCAGCTTTGTTGATCTTCCCTGTGGGCTGGGGGTCACACTGGGGGGCCACAGGAGGCTCCGCACACTCCGTCTGCACCTCCATTATCTAGCACTCTATCGTCCCCCTCAAGCTTTCTGTCCCCCCCTCTCTCTCTCTCTCTCTCCCTCGGTCTCTCTGACCACACATACACTCCCCCTCTCTCTGTCTGTCTCTCTCCCTCCACCCTGTTGGCTGGTGCTCTTTCACGCCCCCTCTGACTTGCTCTGATGTCTGCCTGCTGGTTTTCTCCCTCTGCCTGCCCCTCTCTCTCCTTCCCTCTCTCTCTCTCTCTCTCTCTCTCTCTCTCTCTCTCTCACACACACACACGGGCAAGCTGGGAGCTGCTCCTTACTGTATCCATGGCAACTGGGTGGGCTAAGCAGCTTTTGTCAACGTTGGCGGGGCGCCAGTGTCTGTCCTCCACACCCTCCCCCATCCTCATCCTCCTCTCTTCCTCTACCCTGTCGCTAATGCACGGTTTGCTCTTTTCTTTTAACCACTCGTCGAATTTGAATTTCACACATTTACTGCGCCCATCTGCGTATTTGTGTCAGTGTGTGTTTTCCCTGTTTGTCCCAGTGTGTTTTGGTGAGTATTTAAAGATGCACACTCGGTAATTAATCATGACGGATAAGACGTGAGCTCAATATGTGTATGAGCTTCCTGGGCGGATCACGGGTGGAAAGGCTAATTATGAAGACTTCTCGCAGTAAACCGTTTAGGTCTGATGTTGTTTATCGTTGTTCATTGATGTCTGAGGAACTTTGGACATGAAGGGAGGACAAATCTACCGTGAAAGCACACAAGCACAAGTTTTAGTTATATTTCAAATTAATTCTTATCTGTCATCATGTGAGGTAAGCCACGTTAAAGCTTCGGGCAAACATTGCTTGACATGAATTTATCAGCATTACTTACTTGATCCAGTCTTGTGTGTACTGTTGTGTGTGTGTGTGTGTGTGTGTATGTGTGTGTGTGTGTGTGTGTGTGGAGGAGCGCAAAGTAAATTTAAAGAACCATGTCAGAAGCCGTATTAGACGACTCAAATACAAGACCTGCTGATCAACAGTATGACTTGGTTAAGCCGGGATGTAGATTTTGAAAAAAACATTCCACAACTCAGGCGCACGCACGCACATACACACACACACGCACACACACACACACACACACAGCCAGACGGCCGTCAAATACGGTTGGGGCCAGAGATATAGGCCATATGGCCACAAGCCCTCATCCGCATGGACGCACCGTACCAGGTGTCTAAGAGCCATGAAAACACATCCAACCGTCATCCTATCAATCAATGCGCGTGTGTGTGTGTCTGTGTGTGTACGCGCGTGTTTGCCTTTAGTTCCCCGGCTGCAGGAAAAAGGCTTTTTTCTGCCTAAGTTCTGCCAAGTTTTTTGTTATAATATATGTCGGATTCATGTAAAGTGTTTGAGGTTTTACACCATGCTGATCAAGCAAATGGGTGATCTCTGTCTGAGATGTTGCCGGCCGCCCTCTGAAACAGAGATTATAAAGAGGCGATCCGCACATCTCTCCTGTTGAGCAATCGTTTATCTTTTCCAAAATATATGTCATCCTGGTCTGCAGGGAATTCACCCAGAGTTTCCTATTTTTTTCCTTTGGGTGCTCTTTTTACTGCCTGTTCTATCCTCACAACCCCCCCACGAATCTCCCTGATACCCCGACCCACTTACAAGCCTCCCCTCCCCTATCCGTCCTTCCCTCCCCTGCTCCTTTTCTGCCTCTCCTCCTCGTCGGCGTCCTCCTCCTCCTCGGTTGCTTTGGGCACCGGCTCTCCTCTTCCAGCCCACTGCTAACAAACAATGTCTGCATTCACCAGCCCGAGGCAGCACACACACACACACACACACACACACACACACAACGAGAGATCCACAGACATGCTCACACCCACACCAACACATTTTGAGGGCTTTCCCGGAGTGAAGCATTCGAGCATATCTTCCATGTGCTCGCCCCCAATAAGAAAGATAATTTGCCATCCGGCCCGTCTGCCTGTCAGTCAGTCAGACGCCGATTGTGCAGGTTTTCAGGTACATCAGATACTCAAGCTGCTGGCAGGTGAGCCGGCTATTGGATGGACTTGAAACTGACTCTGAGCAGCAGATGGTCGGCCAACAGCGCGGACGGACTGAGTGGGCTCAGTTATCACACGACAAGACAAAGGATTTCGCTCACTTGTCATGGTGGAAACGCGCCATGTCCTTCCAACAACAGTAAATATCTATTTGTATATTCATGATTAAGACCAACCACAAACTAGATTGGATTTGGTGGGAACGCAAAAGAGTTTAGAGGCCAGGACCTATTGTCTTTAACTCTTACACTTTATTGATATAAATATGTATATAATATTGAGAAAACAAAGATGCTACTCCTCGACTGAAATGCAGAAAGAACATGATTCATTAATCTCTCCGAGAACTGTGAGCAAAAATATATCCACAGGCAAACAAGCAATAAAAGAAGCCCCCCCGGCCCCCAGCTGCCCACCCGATCTCCATCTGTCTAAATAGAGTTCCCATTTCAGCCCCCCTGAGTGAAGCACAGTACTAAGTGGGACAGTTAGAGGACATTTCTCTCTCTGCCTCTCTGTCTTGCTAATTGTGTTTTCGAACACAATTGTTTGAGTGTGCGTGCATTCAGTACAGCATATATCCTTTTACACGCTGTGTGCTCTGCGAGTGAAAAGCAGGATGCAAATATCAAAGCGCTTTTGAAAGCACATGGATGTGTAGCCTGAGTGTGAATTTTCATTGGCCTCTAATGCCTGTAGGTCATTATTTGCAAGTAAAATAAAAGTGCATAGCCAAGGCAAACATGTTCCCGGGAGGCAAATTAGCTTTATGAACTGCATTTTTCTCTATTTTGTGTATTTCAGTGGCAGTAGCTGCTCACCTCGTCTAGCAAGCTTTCCACTGCCACGCCACAACCTCATCATCTTGATTTATTAAAGCATGTGCTGTGAACTGACTATTACGGGTTTGCCAACGGTGTCAACGGTGAATACGATGCTGTCTCTACAGTCATGATCTGGTCTTTTTTACATACTACGACCAACCTTGATAACCACAACAACATTATGGCTGCTCCTGTCGAAAATCAAATCAGCTAAACATGCTGTACGTCCTGCCAGTACCAGGATATGCTTAAACCGTGTGTATAATTACACACAAAAAGGGTATGATGCAAATGCAAACAAGCCACAGGTGCAGCTGCTTGTCCGTTATCGGTCCGGTGTAATCACACACTCAGACCACACACACCTTCGTCATTATTATCCCTGTGGGTCCTGCTTATCAGGGGGTTTCCAGATTAAGTCATAGTGTTAGTGTGTCTGTTTGTCGGCGCACAGATCAGATTTGTGTGTAATTACACCCCCCAGGGGTAACCCCCCCCCTGTGCTCTTTTCTTACTTTAGTGATCAACAGGGATTGGAACTTAGTGCAGACACTTTTACATTCCATAAGATTCCATACGAGCATGTTGGCCACAAAATCGTAATAAAATAAATAATACTAACAACTAGAATGATTGTCTAGTCGTGTTATAATGATCTATTCAATGACATTTTTGACATTTTTTCTCAGTGCGCATGCTTCACAATAATCATAGTACATACGCATAGTTGCCAATAAGTAATAATGGAAATTCTGCTCTGTGCAGATGTGAATTACCCTCAAATGTATGGACACTAGACACAGACATGCAGCCTGTATGTGGCCTATCTACATACACACTGTGTACACAGTATGCACATCAATGTGGGCTGTCTGTATGGACATTTTCCAAGAGTACTACTAGCGTTTTATGTTGAGTGTCTCCCAACATGGCGTGCAGTACTCTTCTGAATGATTCAAAGCCCTGGGAGAGGACCCAGCAGCTTGCCTCTGGAAGAGACTCCTCAATATTTAATGTGAGGTAACGTGCACAAGGAGGCTACACGAAGACTTCTGCAACAGAGATGGCGGTGACGTGGTGACAGAGGTTCCTCAACCAGAATGACGCCTTTTGTCAACGTTATGAATAGAAAACATGCAGGACTCAAAGCGTGTGTTTCCTTAAAGCAAATACGTTTTTTTCTTGGTGGAGAAATGACGTTACAACTAGAGGAAAAAGTAGAGGAATGACAGTGACTCTTAAATAAAAGCGTAAGCCAGTACGTGTTTGTCTTGTGAAATGAGGCATAACAACGGCTTGTTTACACACGCCGTGTCAATCAAACTAACACATGATCACAACTAAGGCAAACAGGAAGATGAGAGAAAAAGGTTTGAGAGAAAAAGGATTGAGAGGACAAGATAGTTCAAAACATATTTGTCATTCTTCTACATGTGGTTAAGTCTAAATGAAATATACACTTAAGACTGTGTCCTTTATCTTGCGATTGTAGAGATTAAGGAGCTTTGGAGAAAGCTGACTCACACGCATCACACACTGCAAGTTGTGCCGGTTCTTCGGAGGCCGATGGTCACTTTGTCTGATTGCTGTGTGAATATGTGTGTGGAACTTTGTGTCTAAGCACAAATCTCCCTTCATTCCTACAGTATGCAAGGACCAGAGTGGCGTTTCAGGAGGAACTAGTTTACCGCCAGTGCTGAAGGCATAAATTCCATAAAGTATGTAGAAGCACACTGGGCGGCGTCTCCGGTGTGCTTCTTGGTTTTAAGTGCAAGCCAGTTCATGTGGATAATCATGAACTTGCACACACACACACACACACACCTACACACACACACACACACACACACACACACACACACACACACACACACACAAACAGAGGCTTTATGGATACATCTGATAGAGGAAGATGACTTCCTGTACAGAAGGTTCAATCCAATAAAGATCAACTCCTCCCTGAGCTCCCACACAAAATAAAGTTACAACCTCAGTCTGGCATTAACAGAATTATTATGGTCTTTGATAAAAGCTGAGCCAAAGCACACATTCTGGCTTGCAAATATATATGCAATTCAGGCCTAAATCAACAAACCACGTCCCGGGGGAAATAACTCTAATCCTAATCCAGGAAATCCTGTTCAATATGATATTCAAAGCAGATAAAAATATCATGAAGTATTAGCAGTAATAATAACTCCCAACTCAAAGAACTAAAACAAAATCATAGACCCAAAATAAAAATAAATCGGGAGTCGATTTAACCTAAAGTAGTTCAGCATTTGTAGTTTCCTTGACACACAGGCTCATTGACACGTTGTCCCAGTGTATCCATGACAGCGACTCCTGATCAGGGTCAGCCGTCATTAATAATCAGTCAATGACAAAGGCGGACAGAAATGACCAATAGGAACCGGGGCTCAATGCGCTTTACTGAATGGGATTATCTGATCAATGTGAGAAGTAAAAGAGGATTACATGATCAATGAGGGTGACAGTTAACAGCTAAACCTCTTCAGGGTTTGGACATTACAGTTCATTTGTCCACAGTGACAGAAAAGATATAGTCACAGAAATAGTATAGTGACTAAACAGCATTTAGTCGGTTAACAGTGAGGCACATTTTGGCTGAGCGTAGTTTCCAGTGATAGAATTTGATTTGATTTTTTCCTTCTCCCCCCCCCCACCCCCCCCATCAGGCACATTTCAGGTAAATCAGCTCAGCTCCCAAAGACATTCAGATTAGGTCAGTTTCAAGCCTTTGGATGAGATGAAATATTACCGGAGCCAAAACACAGATTTTCTGTGGGTTTTAATATAGATGAATATGAGAATTTGTTGAGAGCATCAAGGTCAAATCCATCGGGTTGTATAAAAGCACAAACTGCTGACAAACTGGAAGAGTCATTCTTTTTTTGGATGAATTTATTCTCTTGTTGTATTCATTAGTTCTCTATAGTGCTTTTCAACATTCATAAAAAAGAAGCTTTTCCCCCCCTATTATTAGGTGCAGTATATAACATAATGACACTTTCCATTGAGCTTTGGACTATACACACACACACGTACAACTTGACTCCACCCGCTCAGGACCATCAGCCTTCCCCTTAGCCGCGCACACACACTCTCAGTAAGCCGCGTCTCTCACTCGCTATCCCACAATCCCCCTGCCGCCCCCCTCCCCCCCCCGTTTGGTCTCAGCAGGTCATGCGTGCCACTCCAAACTCCAGGCTGACAACAGCTGGCTCCTCTTTTGCCAACTCGCTATTGTATGTCCCTTCCAGCTCTCCGTAGCTTTGCTTCCTGCTCTCGGTGCCGCTGCTGCCCTCCACTGTCCGCTCGGTGTCGGTGCTCTCTACGGCCTCCTGGCCCACTTCCTCCTCCTCCTCTTCCTCCTGCAACTGCTGCTGGCGCTCGTTCGCCTGCCGCTGCACTTCCTTGTCGTTTATGGCCGCCCCGAGAATGAGGGAATCGGGACGTGGCGGGAGGGTGTTGGAGCGCTGATCCCTTGTGGGCGGAGCAGGGTCAGAGGTCACGACGGGGGTCGCACCGAGCTGGTGGAGCCGCTGTAGAGGGTGGAGTAGATAGCTACCTTGTTATCCAAGTTGTTGTGCTCAATCGTTTGTTTACATATTTTCACAAGAAAAGTTAATTAGTTAGTTAATGAGTGTGCTTAAACTCACATCCTGCAGCGCTTGCAGCGTGCTCTCTGCCTCGCGGCTGTTCTCTCTAAGAGTCAGAACGGTCTTGAGGACAGACTGGCGTGGGTGCATAGACCGGTCAAACTGGTGGTACATGTTCCTCCAGAACCTTGGGGGAAAAAAAGGAAGCAAAATGCTGTAAGAGGCCTTGTTGCATGACCAAGGTGCAAGGGCCAACTTAAGTGTGGCATGTCAACTATGTGGCCACAGCAGGCAGGTGACGACGGCTGTACTGACTTGAAGTGGTAAGGCAGAGTGGAGGGCTCCAGCACAGGGTGGCTTTCAGAGTACGCAGCGCTGTAGAACGGGTTGGAGTACATCTGTTTTTCACTCATTAGATATGCCCAAAGAGAGTGGGTCCGCTCTCTGAGCCTGAAAGAAAAAAGAAAAACTGCAGTTAGAGACACGTACACATAACACGTTAGAACAGGTTTTCAAATTGATTGATCTTCTCTTGCTTTCACACAAAGAAATGAATCGAGAACCCTGTGTTTGGTTTAGCCTTATCCAGGACTCACCGCAGGTCCTCCCTCTGCCGCTGATTGTTGCCCAGGAAGTTTCCGTATTGACAGGAGTGGACGTGTTCGTGGATCTGCAGCAGGAACCAGTCGCTAAACTCAAATGCCTGCGGAGATCATTCAAATGAATACAACGAGCACACAGGACGTGGAGGACTGTGCAAATACGCCACGCGTCACCAAGCCGCACACCTGAGGGAACTGCTCGGTCAGCTGCCAGACACACTCCAGGAACTGAGTGAAGATAGGGGACACTTCCTTTGGATCCCCGTCCAGCTGGTCACACCTGAGGGTTGACAAATGAGACACAATGGTGGGCCCGAGATCGCCGTACCACTGGCGGACATGCTGGCTGATTGGATCCGGTTGAAACCTCACCTGTCGGCAAACTTGTGGCCAAAGGAGATCCAGTCTTTCTCGATCAGTACCTGGATGACACGTGCAAGAAAGTAGCACATTTGAAGCAAGATAAACACTAATTGGCAAAATAGGAGGCTCATATTGTTATCAGCACTTAAGTCCTGTATTTGTGTCACACTGTATGTGTGTGTGTGTGTGTGTGTGTGTGTGCGTGCGGTCGGTACCATGAAGCCCTTGATAGTGCGGTAATAAGGGTCCATGAGCAGCGCCCCCAGGGAGCAGACCTGGGATGTTCTGTCCCATCCGTCTGAACAATGAACCAACACACTGGCTCCTTCCACTGTCACCGCCTGAGGGGGGGGGTGGAGACACACAGCAGTCGATTATTGTAAGTAATTTTGCAGTCCGTGACACACAGCCCAAGGTGAACTAGTGTAGTGCGGCCAGTTAGGTTCAGGTGGACAGACAAGTCTTTGAGGAAGAAAATCGCTGCATAATAATTTCCAGTATTGAATGCTTTAAATTTGTAGGAATATGCCAAATAATACTTTAATAAAAAACGTCAATTTGCAAATCGATTCATATTGAGATAACTAAAGACAAGGAGCAGGAAAGGAGGAATGTTTCACCTTGCTGAGAAAGATGGCGGCATCGATGACAGCCTTGATGTGCCGCAGCCAGCCGCTGCTCTCCAGCCCCACCAGGTGGTCGCTCATGGAGACCGAGCGACTCCCGATCACTGAGAGATGCACAAAGGGAATATCAGGTGAGCTCATTGGCTACTTCTTTAACATTAAAAGGCCGGAGGAATGTGATGCGAAGTGGGCGTTTGTGTAGCGAAATGTGTTAAACCTTCTAGCAATTTCTGCAGGCTGGTCCTCATGACGTGGATGTTTTCAATGCCGACAAACTGAAAGCGGATGTTGGAGTAGTTATCCTCGTTCTCGTAGCCTTTGCCTGCTGCTCGATTAGCTAGCGCATTCAACTGCAAGTGGAGAAAAACCAAAACATTTAAAAAAAATATATATATATATATATATATTATATATATATTTGCAAATCATCTGCTGATGTGGCACTACGTGTTTAGCGGTCACCTTTGGCCTGGTATCCATGACGTAGACGAATTGGCTGTTGTGATTGGCCTTGCTGATGGCCTGCAGCATGCTCTCGTCCTCCAAGCATCGCGCACTGAACCCAGAGAGGGGCTGACTGCATCGACACACTGCCGCCTGTCGGGGTGAACAGCACAAGGAAAAACATAAGATCTCCGCGCATAATCTGGTTTACACCTTCTTTTGCTGGAATATACCGGACTTGTTAAAGAAAAGTTCTGTGAATCAACAGCCTCTCCCTCTTACAGAAACATACCAAGAAAAGTCAGCTTCTTGGAAATAAGCTGTTTTTTCTCCCGGTACTCGGGACGCCACACTGAATAAACAAAACGATTTCCTTTAGGCCTATTGGAAAGCCAAGACACCTCCCTCCCTCCAAAATACCCTGAATACAGACAATTGTTTTATATGTCGTGTAACCTTGTGTCCTTAGTTGTAAATTTGATAAAAATCATATGAAGTAACTACATCGTAACCATAAATGTGTGTGGCAAGTTAAGGGAGGAGTTTGTCTTAGTTTAGTGTCTAGAAACCGTGCTAGGGCTTCATCATCAAAAACAAAATAGACAAAAGTGTCACTTTTCTAGAACCATTTCTTAATAATTCTTAAACATTTTTGTGTTGTTGAACATGGCAAAGGCCTTAAAAGTGTGATTGAAGACTTTCAGCTGGCTCAGGCCCTAATAACACATTATATTAGGGCATTAATTAATGAATTGATTAACATGGATGCAAACATATACGGGCGATGTACATAACACACCCGCTCCAAACTCATGCAAATACTGAACCATGGTGCCCTCTCTTACTGGAGTTCTCATCTGAACTGTTAAGGTTTCGGAAGCTCTCGAGGGAGGACTCAAATTTCAGTTCTTTCTGCGTCATGGCAGCTTTTGTGCTCAGACCATCCCTCATATCTTAAATTGGGACGACCACGTTTATGGAGCACGATGGTGGTCGACATCCCCGATGAGCGACCCTGTGCCCCCGATGTTTCTCTGACCTCAGGGAACCTGGCTTCTCCCATGACCCCAGTATATACAGAGGACAGGAATATACAACAAGAAAACAGCAGAAAGCCTAAAGAGTTAGAACCTGTTGTGTGAACTGGGACTATGGTCCAAAATGGGGAGCTTTTATAACAAAAACACATTTCTAATGTTGCTAATTAGCAACCTTTTTCTACACTACCCGTTCATACAAAACACTTTTGTCAATCACTTACGTGGCTGGACATTAAATGCACTTACACAATGCTCCTCAAAATTACGAGGAGGAAGACGTGCTTTTCATCTTTTTTCATTTTCAGTTTTAAGAACCTTTCATTGAACTTACTTTCTTATAAATCGGGACATTAGTAGATTAAATAAAAAATTGCACCTTTTGTTCCGGGGACAATGTATGAAAAGCAACAGGCAGCTAGGGGATGTGAGCCAGATGAAGAATTCTCAATAATTCTGTGTTCCCTCCCTAAAATGTAGTGATCTCTAGTCATGGCCATCTTGTTGACATTTTTACATGTAGCATGCATGCATGGTTGTATGGCTAATTTAATGGTTAAGAGCAAGGAGCATGTTAAACGTAAATGGATGCCTGCCACAGTCACTCTAGACCCCGTGAATAAATGTAATGGCTTGTCACATCTGCCGGTCCACTTATAAGGTTCCAAATGATGTGTAATCCGGGTGCAGAAGAGGTGGCACAAACTAAACTCAGTTTTAAGTGTTGGCAATGGCAACAGTTGGCTATTTCATATTGTGGATATAATGAATTGTCTTGTTGCTTAAATGGGCTGTGCAAATCAATATTGTCTTGCATTTGACGTGTCGGCCGTCATCAAGTCGCCACGACTCTCAACTTCAATTTAACAACCGCACCTCCCATGAGTCTGCCTCAGCCAAAGCAGAAAGAAAAGGGTCAAGGAACAAAAAACCGTAGCAATGTGTTTGAGCTTTCCAATCCTAAATGGATCAATGATAATGACCAAACTACTCTGTGTTATAAGTAACAAGAAGACCGGTTTGTGTGCTCTCTGCTCTTCTTGTACGAGGAAATTGAATTACTAGTTCCTGAACTTACATTTTGTGTTGTATCTGTGAGAATAAGTACATATTTCCTTTCACATTCTCTCTACAAACCAAATAAAAACAAACCTTCTTTTCTTGGTAGAAGTATGTGAGTACAGGAAAGCGTCCTTTGCTTCTGAACTTGGAACTCCCCACAATGATGGGCTTACTGGCCGTGATGGGAACATACAGGTCCCGTGGATATGTCTCACACACCTGGAAAACACAGAAAATATGCATGCGTCACACACACACACACACACACACACACACACACACACACACACACACAAAAGAGATCGCCGGATGTCCCCTGATTTGTGACCATCAGAGTTAGTATTACTCTGAGCCGTGAAACAAGCCGTGATAGCTCTGCACTTCCCTGCCTCTTGAATTGTTGGGACTACGGCTGTGCAGGTCTGTCACGTCGGCGTCGGAGCCAACAGTGAAACTGCATCGCCCTCTGCTGGCCACGAATGCATCCTGTTTGCATAGTACGTGGTGCTGCCTATAGCTGATTTCTCCATTTACACAAATCACGACTGATTCGCCAAAGTACCACCAGGCCCGAGAGTTAGAGCCTGCTTAGTGCCTGATGTTTGAGCCGGCGGGCCGAGAACATCTACACAAAACACAATCAAGTGTTAGAGTGTCAGAACACGAGACTAGACTATATGCAGGAAGTTTTTTTTGCTCCGTAATTATGGATTATGGAAGGAATATACTTTGCTGCACGTCATGTTTATGGCGCCCAGCGACGTGCCCACGGCCAACAACAGACAGGAAGTGTGCTGCTTTTTATTTGGATCGAACAATATATCTTTAAAATGACCAAAACCCATGACATCATTTGAGGTGTTCCATTCCCGTTTGACCGGGATGTTAAAATAATAAAACCAAAAAACCTCAGCACATGAAAGAAGCATTTACATCTGAAGCATCCGTTTTTTCCTAAATATTCTCCTCCTGAGGATTTTTCTCCGACCTTGTAGTCTCTGTTGACGTTGGTGAGCTGCCATTGGTCGCAGGGGACGCCCATCCTCTCGAACTCCGCCCCCAGGTCGATGAGCTGCCACCCTTCATCTCTCTGCTGGTCGCTCTGTTTCGGGTTGTAGGAGAACGCATAGAGCTCCTCGTAGGACACTAAGGGAAAAAGGAGAAGTAGCCTTCAAGAAAACGCAGAGCACAAACAGCCGCACGGATCCGCCCCCCACACCCCCCACCCCCCACATGGGGCGAGCTGAGACCCACCAGGCCGCAGGAGGCGCAGCAGCGAGCTGTAGATGTCGTGACAGTCTCTTTCTCTCTGCACCACAAAGTGAACCACACGGAAGTTACGACACTGGATGACCAGAGGACATCCGGTGGTGGTCAGGGACAGCTTCTCCACGGACGCTATGTGGTGATGCAAAATCTGCAGAGGAGGGGAGAAGACGGAGGGACAACAGAGAGAGAGAGAGAGAGACAGCTGGTGATCTTCAGTCTTGGCTTAATTTGACAAAGAACAACAACTGAAATAATTCAACTATTACTGCTGAAAAATGTATAGTATGCAAGGGGCTGCTGTTCCTTGTGCGGCGCAGAGTATAAACTCTGGCGCCTTCTATGTTGTCAGTAGTCCACATGTCCCTGCATGTATCGAGAGGTCAGATTCCTCCTCGTTCATTATCAGCTTTGAATAAGTATAAACAACCACATTTAAAAGTCACAGAGAGACGGGCAAAATATTTTTTGGAATACACCCGAAAACACACCGCATGCAGTAGGAGATAAACACGCTGCACAGCATAAGCAAGCCAACAAACAGAGAGGAATATTCTCCTTACTCGGCATATAAAGCAGGAAGGATGGTGGGGAGGAGGTCATCGCCCGCAATCTGCTGGACAAGGCGATTTGGATACCAAAAGGGTTTCCTCCGTGCGTAGAACGCCGCCGCAATTGCGTTGCCATTCCGTTGCCATTGCGAAAGTAACAAAAGGCAACCATTGTCTAATCAGGATGCCCTACTGACTGCTGCAGCCCAAATAAATCAGCCACTCTAAGTGCTGCATCAGCAACTTGATGAGGTGTTTGAACCTCTATACCCTGCTTCCTCTTAGCGCACACACAAGCTTGCAAAGGATATCCTTTTGCCCAACACACACCACACACACACACACACACACACACACACACACACACACACACACACACACACACACACACACACACACACACACACACCTTTGAGGTGGTCACACTGCATCCTCTTTAAACGGTCTGCACGTTCAGAGCAAAACAATCTGACAGATGCAGAAACTATTTGGCAATGAGCTACTGGCACCATTACAGGTCCTCCCTGCACATACATTATGCAGTACAATGCGGACTAAATGTTATTAAATAAACTAAAATCATATTAGTCCACATTGTCCGCCGGCCCACATTGGAATTGGGGGAAATTGGCACCGTGAGGGGTCCGTGAGCAGACATCTATGCTGCATCAAAGTGACCGGGCAGAGAGCTACTCACCCAGATCTCCTGAGCGGTAGACGTCGAGTTGTTGGAGCCGCTCTCCACAAAGATGAGATGCGTCGCCGTCAGGTACAGAGTGCCATTTGTGGATTTGTTGCTGAAGCGGTCCAACAGTCGCACCTGCTCCACCTGTGTATACACACACACACACACACAAACCAGTGATAAAAAGATTAATCAGTTGAAGGTTGTTAAACGTCTTTAGCTGGGTGCACAGTTACGGATGGGACGTACTGAGGAGGAGGAGGGTATGTTGCAAACATGTCATTGCTGTTCTGTCCATCTGGGCCCAATTTTCAACTGACACTTTCATCTCAACACAAGCCACAAATGACTTCTGCACAATGGGGGGAGGGTAATCCTGGGTTTGAGAGAACATTGTCGCAAACGTGACGTTAATGTGCACGGAGCAGCCAGGCCCCGCATTTGTTTTTCCTTGTCCTTTTGGACCCATTGCGAGCACCTCAAGCCACACTCAGCGGTTTGTTCCTGTATTTTTTTTTTTTTAAACACATTCTTCTTGCCGTGACGCCAAACTTTTCCACACATATAAACAAGCAACAGCTTTAAATAACTTAAACGACTAACACTGCTAAACTAAAAGGTTGGCAGGATGGCAGAAAACGATTATACGTTCTGCAAAAAACAAAAAAAATACATACGCTGATTGTAACTATTATCCGTCCCTCTGTGTAAAAATAAGGTTTTTCTCTAGTCAAAATCCCTGATTCATCATATAGGCAGTTACCCGTTCCTCTCATTTGTTTCCCTCTTCCCGCTTATTGTTGTAATATATATATATTATATGATTAAAAGCTTTAGTCTATCTCGGCCTTCCAGCTTTGGCAGAAGTTAGGAGAGTGTGTGTGTGGGGGGGGGAGATTTGAGTTAGACTCATCTGAAAATAGATGTTCATGTTTATTATCTGTTGTAGACTAATGATACAATCTGACGGCTTAAAAGTTAAAAAAATACAATATTCACCAAATTGCATGTTTTTTGATTTTTTACACATAAATCTTCATAAAGCAGCATCAACTTAATTCTCTAGCGGGTCGACCACCAAGTGATTACGACTTCAAAAGAATCTCGGTTTCTCCACAAAAAAATGAAACAAAAGCACTTTCCATAAATCTGGTGTATATAACAAGAGATCTGGTGAGAATATCTTTCTTGTAAATCCAGCATGACAAAAAAAATCCTTAAAAATGACCAATCGACTAAGACTAATATTTACACACCAGGTGTAAACGTTTCCTGGGAACCAATACAGCCTTTTTATTAAATCAAACATCCAGGAACATTAGAGACAATGGGGGGACCACACCCAGGCTGCTTGCTTTCACACCCAAAGATCCAAGCCCATCCCTTATTAGATCCCCTATTCTATAGGAATGTAGATTCCCAAAGAATCCTGTGCAACACAACGTTGCATGATTGCACACATATGCCGTCATGTGCACATGTGAATAGTTTAAAGCTGATGTTCCAAACTGTCAGTCTTAAGATAAGTGTCGTTGACTTTAAGGGAAAGGCACCAGAGTCAATCTAAAAGTAGACGATGAACATTAATGTAAAGTGCTGTCTGTCTGTTTGGTTTGTGGTTTGTGTGCACGCACGAGCGTGTGTGTGTCAGAATTACATGCAATTGGCCTGCTGTACATGTGATGCGTCCATAAAACACGCAGTCAAGCTTGCATGTGCTTTGGTGTCTCCTGGCGGTGTTTTTGTATCACATTGAACAGCGTTATTTTTTGACACAAATCCCCCCCCCCATCAGACGGTAGCATCTCATTTCCTGTACGGGAATAAAACCAGCAGCGCGAGGAAGAGCTCGTCACGTCAGACGAGCTCTTCCTCGCGCGGTTAGATGCGCGGACATTTAGGAGCGCGTTAGCCTTGGCGAGTCCGGAAAACACGATCACACTCGAGCGTTAGTGAAGTCCCACAGCGGTCAGGCCCGAGCAGCCGACTTGTTTGGTATCCACTCGCGATTATAGCTCACAAGTGTTAAGCTAACGTTACCTTTGGCGTCCGGATGTGCTCCATTTCACCCGTTAGATCAGCTGTCAGCGCTCGCGAAGCTTCACACGACCACTCACGCCGATGGGTGTATCATTGATGATGTTTTGGGGCAATTTGCTGCACAAGTAGCCCGCAATTTGTTGGAGGCATACGTTGTGGGTTTATTGTCAATTATTGCACTCCTCCATCCGCGTAAAGGTGCCGCCAATCACGTCAGCGCTTCGTGTGGAATGCTTTTCAAAGTAAAAGTTTATTTAGGTGCGTAACACAACGGTCTCCCGCTGCTCTGTAAGATGTGTTTGTATACGTTTCTTTCTGCTTAATCAAGTTCAACTTTGCCATTTAGGAAAGTGCGCCAGGTCCGTACGAACACCTCCATGCAAATGCCTAATGTCCTAATGGTATTAAATAATGACATTTATAACTTACTAATGCAAATATGAAACCTTAATACCCCCAAATTATTTTAGTTTATGCTATGCTGTTGTACCCTGTGGGATAGTTGTCAACTTTAAATTAGACATAACATTAATTCTACTTACGAATAAAAATAAGTAAAAAACACAACGAAGAAACTAACCTGACTGCCCTCCTCTTTTACTTGTCAAATGGGGTTCTTTATTTTGAAAGAAGGTCGGGACGTGTCCGGAAAAGAGCCGTTGGTATCGCGCGCATGTGTCACGGGACACAAAACAGTGATACGGACGATGGGGGATGTAGTTTTACAATAACAAAAACATTACCCAGAATGCAATAGTTTACGGGACATACCAGGCGGGTAATAAGAAAAGTAACATCATGAGAAAACTCATCCTGCGGCATTTGACAGTTGTAAATATATAAATCCCAATTTTAGTGACGCGGAAAAATAACACGTCAGCTGATCATTTCCCGTTGGTCGATAGCATTATTTGGGAGAAGCCGAATTCTAGATCGTATTCTCGGTAAAGACGACAACGTGGACTCGGCCCTCACGCGGGCATCTTTCAAGGCTAACTAGCCTGTTAGCTGGGATGCTAGTCATGAGTGGCTGAAGAACGAAACGACAGTTGGTGTTGAGTGTGTACCTCGTGAGGACAAAATGTCTGGCTTTAACTTTGGATCGGGCGCGCTCGGTGCCGCCAACAACACTGGTGGAGGATTTTCATTTGGTGCCGCAGCAAGGTAACTTAACTCAAAAAGTCGACGTAGCTAACGTTAGCACAACCCAAGCTAACCCGACGTTAGCAGGCAGCATACTTTTCATGACTCGTTAACATCGGCTGGGTTTTTAATTTACATAAAGCCTGCGAAGACCGTTACGTTGTGCGAGTGAGCCTCGTTACTCGGTTTAACGTTCGCAATCAAAACGAGAGCGCCCTATTGTTTTATTTCTTTTTTTAAGTTAATGTTCTTCTGTTGAGTATCGTTACACGCGGGGTTATCCTATCGAGCATGGACTCATTTGCCTCGACATTCCTATGCGGAATAAAACAAATCGAACCGATCACTTTTTCATAGATCAACTCCGACAGAAAGGTTTTAAAGGAACCGTTTGCATCACTGTGATCTGATGTCGCGCTTTGCTCCCTGACTGAATTGTGACCATGTAACCAAACTGTCTTGCCCTCCCTCCTCCTCCTCATCAGTGCACCTGCGGCCAACACCGGCGGCTTCTCCATCGGAGCTGCTCTGGGCGCAGCAGGCACCACCCTCGGCGCTGCCACCAGCACCCCGGCCTCGTCTCTGGGTCTGGGAGGCTCTCTGTTCGGTCAGAAGACCGCTGGCTTCTCTTTCAACACCCCCGCCTCAAGTAATCACGGATGCAAGAAAAACCCAACCTGTTGACTTGGACACCTGTGTATTTTGTGGATGCACCTCTTAACGTTGGGATGTTGTTCTCTTTCAGGCGCCGCCGCACCCACCACTGGCCTTATGTTAGGTATGTTTTTTTGTTACTATTATTTTTTTTGAGGGAGGAAAATGAAAATGTACTTTCTCTCAGGCGCCCCGGCCGCTACAGCTGCGTCCACTGGCTTCAGCCTGCCCTTCACCAAGCCCACCGGCTCAGCGCCCCCCTTCTCCCTCACCACCGCTCCCACCTCCTCGGCGGCCCCTGCGGGGGCGGGTTTGTCATTTGGCTCTGTCCTGACAGGCACAGCTGCGCAGCAGCACGCGGCGGGCTTCTCGCTGGGGCTGGGCTCAACAATGACCACGGTGGCGGCGACGGGCCAATCGCTGGGCGGGAGTCTCTTCTCCAACACTTTGTCTACAGGTGAGCGTCCCGGTGCACCGACGCGGATCTCGCGCTGAGTTGCCACCCTGTTTTTATGATTTATTCAAGACAGAATTGGATTAATGTGAAAAAAGTGGTGCCATTGCACAGCGCTGTGACGTCTGATTATCAATGAGGACATTGTTACTGCTGCAGTGGTTCTCAACCACAACATGGCCCCATGTTATAACCCCAGGTCTGTGTTTACTTGGCGTGGCAGGTTTGGGTCAGACAACTCTCGGAGGAGGCGGGTTAACGTTGGGATCTCTATTGGCTTCATCCACGGCCATATCAGCGGCCCCTGCCCCAAGTATGGGCCTGGGCGGAGTCGACTTCACTACTTCCTCCGAGAGTAAGAGCGACCCGTCGTCCGGAGCCAACGCAAAGTAAGTCCTGCTGACCAACAAATGCGTGTTAATGCAAGTAAATGGGAACACTAAGTGTCCATCACTGCACATGGTTTATAGTGAAATGCTTTAAAAACCTGTTTGCTGAGAGGCTTTTATTTTCCCCATAATCCGATATGTGTGTTGTCGTGATGAAAAGCATTCTCTCTTTCTCCCTCAGGGACAGTAAAGCTTTGAAAGATGAGAACCTCCCTCCAGTTATTTGTCAGGACGTTGAGAATTTCCAGTAAGTGTTGAATGTATATCTAATTTCTAATCACAGGTCACATGCACCAGCACATTCTTTGGCAGAATAATAACATCGTCGTGTTATAGACATTTGTTTGTTGTTTGTTCTGAACTTTGCTCGAAGGAGTGTTGCATTTTAAAGCTATGACCTCTTGAGTGAGGCAATTTACTTGAAACAAGACTACAATTAATGCGTCATGGGGTTTCCATGTCCATATTTCACATTCATTTTAAGCAGAAATTAATTAATTTCCAATTGTCTTAACTTTTCTTCCTTCTTTTTTTTTAATAGAAAATTTGTGAAAGACCAGAAACAAGTTGAGGAGGACATCAGCAGGATGTCCTCGAAGGGCATTTCTAAAGTCCAAGATGACATCAAGAGCCTCAAACAGCTTCTCTCTGTCAGTGCCAGCGGCCTACAGCGTCAAGCTCTGGCCATCGAAAAGCTCAAGCTGGAGACGGCACAGGTAAAAAGTGCCAACATTCATATGTTTACTCAAGTTTAGATCACATGCCTATTTTCAAATGTTCGCACGTATGTATTGTATGTGTGGTGTTGCCCATTTGTAATAACAAACAATCTGTGTAATGTAAGAAAAAGCTGCAGTGGTATATTGAGATGTTTTTCTTTAATGTATACTATAGATAAATCGTATTTTTTTGCAAATGGGACTCAAAACGAGCTTAATTGTCCAGACTGTTACAAACACACCACGTTAACTAAAAATGTGGACGGTGATCTCCTTTTTAAAGAAATTACACCGTAACTGCATAAATGTGTCTTTTGGCTTTCCTAATTTCCTTTTGTTCTCAAGGAGCTGAAAAATGCAGAAATAGCATTACGTACGCAAAAGACTCCCCCCGGACTTCAGCATGAGAACACTGCTCCGTCAGAGTAAGTGAGCCGCCAATACAGGGGGATATGCATGTTGCATTAGTGTCAGCTACTTGCCGTGTTAATGCAATATGCCCCTCCTGGCTAGCAGATCAGCTGTTCTCCATCATTCATGGATGAAACAATGATTGGTTACTTGTATTTATTAATATATTTGTTTCTGTGTGTAGTTACTTCCACAGCCTGGTCGAGCAGTTCGAGGTGCAGTTGCAGCAGTACCGGCAGCAGATAGAAGAACTGGAGAACCACCTGACGACGCAGAGCAGTGGCTCCCACATCACTCCTCAGGGTGAGCGGGCTTCTGTCTGCCTTCTTTAACACAACGCGGGGAAGTATGGCGCAGCGTGTCTTACTCATGTCAGGGTTTTGGATGTTGTGCGGTTGTTTACAGACCTAACGTTGGCCATGCAGAAGTTGTACCAGACATTTGTCGCGCAGGCGGCCCAGCTCCAGTCCGTTCACGAGAATGTCAAGGTCAGTTGTTATCTGAAAAGAATGTCCAGTGTACAGATCCCCGCTGAACTGTAATTAATGTCATGCACGGCATGTTGATTCTACACTCTGTTTTGTTTGTGACGTCACAGATCTTAAAGCACCAGTACCTTTCGTACCGCCGGGCCTTCCTGGAAGACTCAACGGATGTCTTTGAATCCAAACGGGCATCCAACAGGAAGTGGCAGAGCGCACCGCGAATCACCACCGGGCCCGCCCCGTTCTCCAATGTTCCCAACGCTGCAGCCGTTGCCATGGCAGCCACGTTGACCCAGCAACAGCAGCCAACTCCAGGTCTGACTGCCTACAAGTTCTAGAAAGTTTTCTTCACCTCGCTTTAAAAAAAGAATAAACCGAAGAGAGGTAGATGTTCAGAGAGGACACAAAACGTGTGTAAATTAAATTTATTTTTTATTTTTTAAATGATTGGAGTGGAAAGGTCAAAAGGGGACAACGGGTGATCATAAACGATGAAATCAACATAAAAGCCTCAGCTGGTCCCGAGCTATTGTCTGTACTACTTAGTAGAAAGCCACAGATGATACATCTGTTGCTTGATTTCGACAGGAAACCTTTGTACTGCCTTACCGTCTTGTTATACTTGCACTTAAACAAAACAAAAAACCGCAACTACTACAAATGTCATACAAGCCCTTTTTAGTACTGCCAAGGACATAATAACCTACTATACCCTCGCTAATCGTATGACACAGCGTTATGAAAGCAGTTGTATAGTGCGACTGGGAGGAAAAAGTCCAGCTCTCAATTTTACTCGCTTGGATTGTGAAGTTGTATTAATAGCTTTTAAATTTAATTTGAGATTAATTTAATCGATGCTTGAAATGAGCCTACTCCATGGCGGTTATCATGTGACGGGGTTCGAAGCATTAGAACGTTGCTGTGCGATTTAAGATATACTTTGCAGATATTGCCGGAGTCATTCTGATGTCTGCTGGTTTTTGTTTAACGTTGCGTCTGGGTGACACGTCGATCCATAAGGTATAAATGAACGATCAAGTGCCGCCTAATGTCTTCAATTCAAGTGTAAAGAGGTGTCTTTGATGTGGGAGAGCTCCAATTGATCAGAGGCCAAGTGGCGTCTGAAAATACACGACTGCTCTCAAAGAAAGTATCAACATTATTTATTGACGCATGGAGCTGCTCTTGTTTGGGGTCCTACTGAGCTTTAGTTTCGGTTTAGTCCAGGCCCCACATTTACAAGCAACCATACACATAAATAGTAAGAGTCAAGGCCTACTTCGCCTTCTTTATTAATATAAAATGTCTTAACTATCCTACCACACGCCCCACTTTTTTTATATCGTTAGCCGGAACAAACAAATGTATTATAAATATTATTCAACACAGTATTATTATCCAGCATATGCGGACAGGTGAAGACTGATGTTTTTATTTCACACACTGCCTACTCGCCGATGTGTTGGGGTTGTTTTTAGGGTTGGCGATTTATATCGCAAGAAATCTTAAATAAGCCAGTACACTAACGCTTGTGTTATGTTGTTAGCACTCCATTGCACACAAATTCACTTGTATTAAATATTGTACAACTACATAATTGTGTTGCCACATCACTACGGTGTTGAACTAAATATCGGCCCTTTTTGTAGGCTTTGATCTATTTCACTGGCAGATCAGGACACAGGCATGCTTCTGCTGTCCGTTCTAGTTTCGTGTAGTAAAAATGTAATTCAAGAATTTGAGAGCAATATTTGAATTGAATGAAGCAGCATGGCTTTTACTTTTTTTTACTTTTTTTTTTTTTTTTTTTTAATTCGCCAATTTCTGCTGCTTCCTTCTTACAAAAATCCTCAATACTGCTCAGACTTCCATCAGGTCCAAGAATGTGGCTTTCAGTGTAGTAATATTGGTTTCCCACACTGTTCTCTCTTGCTCTTTGCAAGTTGCAGCTGCAGTTGGTCTGAATTGGCATCTTGCCTATTTAAGTATGTGCCAAGTAGGGATGGAACTATTACCTGTTGGGTCTTCTGTTGCCGAGACCCAATTTGGAAAGAAAAGCCCCACACAAGCCAGTGCTATTGGTCGGTAGAATCCCCCCCCCCATGGTAGAAGTGCACAGAACCGTTTGTGCCTGCTGAAGACATTTCTATTTGACGTTGTTCTCTGCCAGCTGTCTAAAACGCACAGCGTTGCAAATATGCTGATATGCAGAGTTTGGTACCAGTTCAAAGTTTGCCATTTCATTGCCAACAATAACAAGTTCCCAAATAACTAGTATTTCACGCAGACATTTTATTGACCAAGACTGATCCACAAATGCTTGTCTTTCGTGTCTCTGGTATTTATTTACTTATTTATTCCTATTTTATTTTTGTGTGTAGTTTTTAGTGTTGCATCAAGCACTTAGAACACTGACCATGCAGCTGGGTGCGTAGAGCGATTGTTGTGCCGGCCAAATGCTTGATCATATTTGTGCCACAAAAGGTGCCAAAAGACTCAGGACTGAAAATATACAATATTTAATAGCTCCGGCTGTAGTTAAGGCTTTTTTTCCATTATCGCTTTTACTCTCTTTCCTTCTGAAGGCTCATTTCATACACAGATAGCCAACATTGCGATAAAAAATATTCGGGATTACCTCACAGTTCATTACGACATTTGGTCGGCCACACCACCGCTACCTGATTTAAGATGGATCACCTAAGGGCTACTGACGGAGTAACTGGGCTCCATCATTTCACATTCCAACGTAGATGCAAAAGTGCTGTCAACAAGTAACTAGTCATTTCAGGCCTTTTGTAGTGTAGTGTTACTTTGTACAGAGGCTTTTTGCTGTAAAATGGACTGTCGTTGGTTTGATTTCATTGGTTGAGAGCAGTTTATTTAATAGCTCGGAAGAGAGTGGTGCCTTTTTTTTTTTTTTGCTGCTGACGCCGCCCCAAGTTGCCATCTCTTTTCGTGCTTGGGTTGTTGTTTCCCGCCGTTTTAAAGGTGCGGCTCCACATTGAGTCGCTGTGGTGAGTGCGGGGCCTTTGTGACACTCTGGAGTCGGGGTTAGAATGCGGTTTGCTTTGACTTGACTTGTCTTCCATACTTGGCACAGCAATGACGTTTGGATGATGAACTACTTAATAAGCTGTTTGGACCTCGAAGGCGATGGTGAATGTTGGGCCAATAGGTTCTCGGAGGCAAAATGTGAAATATCTTTGTCTTTTTACGGTGGACACAGTGCGAGCGCCACAATGTACCTGCAGTGCTCGACTCATTTCTGAAACTCTAATGGATCAGAAGTCTTTTATGTATACGATGTTGAGCTCCGATGCCAGAAATGCCAGCAGGTCCTCCAGAGTTGTTGGCTGTCAGACTGTTTTGAATGTTCTTACTCATTGTTATTTCCGTTTGAACCATTCATCATACGCTTACTTTAGCCTGTTTCTAGTGGTGTATGTGGCTTGCTGGCGGTACTATTGCAGGGAGTTTCTTTTAGGGGGGAGGGTGGTGTTCTTTGAAAAAGCGACGCTTTTTGCTAATGTTCACCCGAAAACTAGACTCTTCCACAGTACGTTAACCGCTCACTTCACCAAAACCCGCGTTGATCGAGCGCCGAGTTGGTAGCCTCCGGTCGAGTGTAGATTCATCTGAGGTGCAGCATTTGTGTTTTGTGGCTGTTATTATGTCTGAGAATACACTGGGGGGGGCGGCGTTTACACTGAGAGGCAGCCGTAGATGCCAAATTCACTTTCCCTGTCTGAATCTCGAGTGCTCTTTTACTTGCAGATGAATGTGTTTTGAACCTATATATCCAATGCCTGTTGATATAGTATATCTAATATATAATATGGTGTGCCTTTTTTTTGAAGCTATATTCAATAATTGTGTGGTTGATTTGTTGTTTTTCGGGCATATGCTAGTTCATTCACTCTCAGAAATCTTAAAAATTTGGAAACTTGTCAAATGCAGTAGCAGTTAGCAATTAACAATCAATTCTGTTCTAAACTGTTTGTTTGTGTTTTATGTAAGTGGAATTGCATATTAAATTGAAAATAAATACATTTTAAAATAAAGAAACGTTTGTCCTTGTTTCTTTTCGACTGAAGTTGTTCTAACAATCCAGACTAATTGGAAGCCTTACAAAATTTGTAAAGTAAAAGAACAAACTGCATAAAAAGACAAGTTTCTGAGTGAAAGAACTAGCAGCATTTTCCCATCAACATTGTTTAGTCGAATGTTAAGTCTAGAACCTTTTCTAATATTACTGACACAAATACAACTGTTTAATTACAATCTATTTGCAGACAAATACATTTAAAGACTTTTAAAGTAAGACAGTAAGATACTGCTATTTCACTTGAGCCACGCACACAAACTGCATGAAGAGGAGTAAAGCATACGCTGTCTCTCTGCCTTAGGGACCCAGGCGCCCCTGGGGGCCGGGTTTGGAAACCCCTTTGCTTCGGCAGTGGGCAGTAGCTTGGGCTCTTCTACCCTTGGAGGTATTACCTCTGCCTTTTTATTTTGTTTAAATGAATATTCCCTTTTATTTTGCCATTCTCTTGAACAGTTCACCACTACCCAAGCTTTTTCTCTGTGTGTGCGCGTGTGTGCGTGTGCGCGTGTGCGTGCTTACCAGTGTGCGTTCACACCACAAGTAAACTGAGCAACCACTCTTTTTGCCCCCATAAGCCAGTCGGGTGTAACTTGGCAGTGTGGTTACGGGTGGTCTGGACGCACAGCGAGTAGGTGTGTTGTCTCATAGTTTGTGTACTTGGTAAAAAGCGTCCTCACTCCCTCCCCTGGGGGTCAGTGTACTAATTTACCTCTCCATTCAGGAGGAAAGCTGCGCGTTAAGCGCTGTTGATTAGGTCGTGGCATTCGTTTTGGGTTATTCTGTGTCAAATCAGACAACAGGTTTTTGTTCTAATGTTTGCTTTTTGTTCAAGCTTTCGAAACTTGATATACCGGTAATTATATATACTTTTGAGAATTCCATTTTTTTGGCCCATTTCAAGGGTGCGATAGCTCCTTTTTAGTCATAAAAGTTGATCAGGTCAGTTAAAATGGTGTTGAAAATAAATGGGTGGTAGCGTGTATTGGATGTTGTCACATTCTGGCAACAACAAAACAAACACAATAATTGAAGGATGTCAAACAATATTTCAGGGGCTCAATACATGCCAATTTTGCCCAGATTGCAGTTTGTTGTCTCCCCCTTTTTAAAGTTTTAAAGTACCATCTAAAATGTAAGCAAAAACCTCTGATTTGACATGGAACGGCACGGATGTGTTTGCTCGTGCCTGGTGTGGCCTGTGTGCATCGCCCCAACTGACGTCCGTGTCACTCTCTCCCACAGGTTTTGGTGGTGGGCCAGGATTTGGTGGGGTGGGGACTGGGGGGTCTTCTTTTGCCTTCTCCACCAGTAAGCCCACAGGAGGCAGTCTGAGTGCAGGTACATACATAATGTTTATGCCCCCTCCCACACCCCTTAGCAATTACAATAACCTATTACAATAACAGTGTGCCCCCCCCCCCCCCCCCTAATGAGACGTTTGTCTGAGCATGTGTCATCGGAAGCAGTTGGACAATCTTTCCATATCAAGCTACTCCTCAACAGTGTACACATATACTGTGTAATGAGGAGGCTTTGTCAACAGTGTGATCCTTTTATATCAGTTGGCAGTTTGGCCAACAGGTTTTGGGATACGGGTTGTTACCCCACGTGGACACAACTTGGCCAAAGCTGAAGTATGTGCATATATAAGGACTGCCTATATTTCAATCATTAGTTACTTCTAAAATTTCTTGTCTTTTCCTCCCTTTTTTCTAGGTTTCGGTAGCAGCAGCAGCTCGGGCTTTAACTTCAGTAACCCGGGCCTCAACCCCTCGGCTGGCCTGACCTTCGGCGTGTCTAACCAAGCCGCTACGGGCTTTGGCGCTACTCCCCTCCTCCAGCTCAAGAAACCCCCCGCTGGTAATAAACGGGGCAAGAGATAGAACTGAGAGCATAAAACCCCCCTGACAGTCCAGCTGACGGGTTTGTATCAAGTAAGGCCCGGTCTCCCAAAAGCATACAAGTGCTCCATTAATCACTATCCAAATACACAGCCATCATTTGAATCCGAGGGATCAAATTTAAACCACCATGAAACTGCAATACGGGAACACATGGGTTTACACACGTTCAGATAAAAACAAGCGTTATTGGTCAGTCGTACGTACTTTATTGTCCAAGTTCACGTCCTACTAGATTAGATTGTTCAATTGTATTGCTTCTCTCTCGTCAATCTACAACCTCCGGATGGATGTGATCGACAGTGGAGTGTATTGAAATGCCGTTTGCATCATTTTAAATGTTATTTTTCCCCGTTTGCGTTAAATCTATAATGTTTAGCGCTGCGACGCTTTTGGGGAATCCCAGCCGTGAACACAGCTGGCTCAATGACAGATAGTTCAGGTCTCTGCGATGAAGTGCTTTTGTCGAGCCGGATATGTTTTTGTGCTCTGCGGTCCAGAGTGCATTTGGTTTCATTGAGTTGAAGAAACCGCAGATCGCTTAGCTGCACTTGAACTCCGCTAAAATGATAAATTGGCCCGAGCCTCGTCCAGGGAAGGGTAGGATTCCATTTAAGGAAAGAGGTTTAGTGGGTTTGGAGCAGTGTAGTCGCTGCGTAAGGTGTCCATCGGGAGTATTATGTGATCCCAGGTGCTTTTTTTTTTAGGCACAGGAGAGCGTCCAGGGGGGTTTGGGGGAAGCACAGTTTTATTTTTGTATTAAGTGGAGTAAGAGATGACATACGGGAGGGGTAAAAGCAGCACTTGGGACAGTCCACAATCAAGTCCACGTGACCTGTGTTGTTTTGCTAAAGTCCATCCCTCCATCATTGTTTCGTGGTGGCGTTTTAGACCCATTCAGTTGGCCATAATGTAAAAACATGGGAGAGGAAACGCTGTGCTGTTTGTATTACATGGCTCCCATTACATAAAAAGTTGGTTGAACCTGGAAAGGGTTTTACCAGAAGATTCTAGCTGCTCAACCCTATTAGTGTGCTAGAAGAGGTCTGCACATGTCGTATGTGACCTGGCAGTGCATGTGTGCTCATTGCACAAGTATGAATTTGTCTCCTGTTGTCTTTCATAATTGCTGACTTCTTTTGAACGTCAAGGATGGTGGGGATATTTTGCTTTTTTTTTGTGTGTTCAGTTACCAAATACTGGTAGATGTACAATTATTTCCGAATCACTGTCTGTAAACTTGTATTTTCAAGAAGCTGTTTATTAATAAAATCTTCATTAGGATGTTTTGCCTGTTTACGGCAACACTTCAATAAATGTGTGTGTTTACACAGAATGGTGTCTGTCAAGTTCTTGTCCGAATGTCAGTGTTTTCCACTTTTATGATACTTTTAATAACATTTCCACGGCATATATCCCTTGCCTTTTGGCTTGACATTTCCCAAACAAGTAAATTAATGAAAATGCTTTTTTTTTTTACTCACGGCCTCATGTTGCATCGTTCATTCCAGTAACTTTACACAATCGGTCGGATTAGAATTCACAAAGGCAAGCCGATGTTAAGGTTAATCAGTTGACGTCTCCCAACAGGAGGGGGGCAATGTCGCACTTCACGTGGCATGACATCTACCCCTCGAAAACCAGAGAAGAAGACCGTTGCTATGCAACGGGGCAGCAAGCGATACACAGGCTGCCTCTCGCGTTGTAGTTTATCTCCTTTTTCTAAACGTCATTATTCAGCAATCCAGGGAACGGTAAATTTGTTGATGTGTGGACGTTTATTCAAAATGAGGTTTTATGAGAATGTTGGACATCAGGACCGTAAAACAAGAAGTGTGAATACATGGTCAACGTAAAAATTCTGTATTTAACTTCAGTTACCCGTTTCTACTGCGTGTCCTAACCGGCGCTACGGGAGCTAATGCTAACGTTAATTTTAGGCTCGTGTTTTTGCGGTAAACTTACCGTTAACCACGTCGGTTTTAGCTGCTGTTAGCTTAACGTTACTGTAACGTATAACTTCCGGGAAATGACGTTGATAACATGTTCGGCTTTTTACTACCGTTACCTTGCAGTCTTACATCTCATTCACCTAAACGCTCTTAAATTGATGTCTGGTTCATTTTAAAACCTAGTTTTCAATTCGGATTTCATCTTATTGCTCACGATGAGGAAATGAATCTATGGAGATGTTATCTTTTTTTTAATGTAGCTGCCATGGCCTTTACTTCGTATTCCTCTCAAACGTATTGAAACAGCAACTTTAGATCCCCGAGAAGAACCACTATTCCATTAAGTTAATATTCTGGTTGCGAGCTGCCACTTTATTTCAGATTATGTCTCATGGATGTCCTCTCGGATGAAGCTCCTATCTGCTAATTGGACAATGTTGCAATGTTTTATATTGCAGCCATGCCTCTTCCAGACACAATGTTCTGTGCCCAGCAAATCGACATCGCCCAAGAGCTGCCAGACATCCTGAAAAACTTCACCAAGGCAGCCGTCCGTACGCAGCCCGAGGACCTGCTGCTGTGGTCTGCGGCGTAAGATTCAATCTCTTGTCAGTGGTCGTTTGGATACAGGAAGGGATACATGTGATTACGTTCAATACGTTCGGTCTTGATCTCTCAAGCAACACCATGACTTCCTGCATGCAGAGGAAGTAGCCTCTGTTGTAGCCATTTTTGCATTGACCGAGCTTTAAGTGGGGGGGGGCACATTTTCTACCCCTAAGGAAAGTAATTTCAGCTGTTCTTTTATTTGCCAATGTAGCTTCAGTGTTTACAGCAAAAGGACAGTACACGAGCCATCTGGTGAACCAAAAACAAATCACATTCTCCAGGGTTGCAAGAAGTTTATACGCCATTAAAATAACACCAGGCTCTGTAGCTTTTCAAAGACGATGAAAGTCATGCTGCCTCTAAACTCATTGCGAGAGCTAGTTTTTGAATAATTTAAACTTTGAGATAAAATTATCCAGTAAGCCCTTCGGCACAATTGGAAGATCAGTAAACTTCCTTCTAAACTGCAACACATGATGGTTTTTCAACTGATTAACCCTCATGACAATTTATTCTAATGTCAATCCATGCATCATTTGACTGCATCACTTATTGCCTTGAAAAGCATAAAGCCAAGCACCGTGTTTTCAATAGTACAAATGTGTGTGTGTGTGTGTGTGTGTCCGCTCGCAGATACTTTACTGCGCTGTCTAAAGGAGAGCGTCTGCCTGTGAAGGATCGACTGGAGCTGAATGTCACAAATAAGATGGACAGCGCGATGACTCCTGGTCTGCTAAAAACTCTCCATAAACAGGTGCTGTCCTTACAAAGGGACCACACCTTAAATAACCAATCACATCAAACCTCTCGCACATTAAACCTGTTTTTTGACCTATATACCTATTGATTATCAGTTGCTACTATGCTGATACCCCCATTTTGCTTACTCTTTCATATCTTCTTTTGTTTTAGCTGCATCTGCATATTGCAATGATGTCCCCCCCATGTGACTCATTAAAGTTTAGTGTTATTGTAAAAGTACATTTCAAAAGGTTTGCTCACATCATGCCCACAAATCAACAATGAATCCATCCATCCATCCATTGTCAAACCGCTTATCCTGCACACAGGGTCGCGGGGGGGCTGGAGTCCATCCCAGCCAACTTCGGGCGATAGACAGGGTACATCCTGGATTGGTCGCCAGCCAATCGCAGGGCTACACAGAGACACACACAACCATTCACACTCACATTCACACATCTACGGGCAATTTAAAGTCCCCAATTAACCTGATCCCCAGAGCATGTCTTTGGACTGTGGGAGGAAGCCGGAGAACCCGGAGAGAACCCACGCAGACACGGGGAGAACATGCAGACTCCACACAGAAAGGCCACTGGGCGGAATTGAACCCAGGACCTTCTTGCTGTGAGGCGACAGTGCTAACCACCACGCCACCGTGCCGCCCCTCAACAATGAATACAAAACAATATTGTTTGCAGACATGATGGTGACACCCAGACATTCATCTTTTCAATCTACCAGCTCAGAGCAGTGACCGACCCCTCGTATGTCCTTAGATCAGTGCTGTGTGTTAATTACAAACATGAAAGTCAGTCGACACAATCTGGCTGATAAACAGCTCGCTGATCCTCCGTTCGTTAATGCACTCATCTGTTAAACTAGATAACCTTTTTTTTTTTCTTCCTCTCCTTCCCTTCATCTACCCCCGCACCTGCCGATCCCTCAACCCGATCTCAGCTATCCATCAGGGAGACGTGCAGCGAGGAGGAACTGCGGGAGAAGTGGAGGGGTCTGTGTCTACCCACGGATCAGCTGGAGACCCTGCTGTCGCTGGGCAGTTTTGGCTCAGACATCGATTGGATGGAGTTTTTTGCCCTGGGCTGCAGTTCTCTGGGAGAGGTAAGACGTTATATAAGGCCAGATACATAAATGCTAACACCACTTTATACCTTTTTGAGGCCACGCACAGCTGGAGATCCTAAAAAATACTTTTTAGGATCACCACACAGTCCAGTCTTCTCGTGTTTAAACTAGATCCAGACATCAGTGATCAGAAGACTTGAAGGTCCGTCAAGGTCCGTCAAGGTCCCTGGACCCCGGAGATCAATCATTCTCTGACTACTTGAATGCTTTTAAGCTAATGATTTTGTTTCAAAAGAGAGAGACCAAAGAGAATTTCCCTCACGCACGGAGAACTCTGTGGATAAGAGCTTCGCAGCTCAGCATTGACAACACAATGTGCTCAGTGAGGCTGTTAAACACTTTAAGCACATGAGGGCAGTCATGTTCTACCTTGATTTGGTCTGTCACGGGTTGCTGTGCATGCATATAAGTTTGAGTTAAGTGTATTTACAGTGTGTTGTTGTCATGATCAAACGTGCCTTGAATGCTGACGCATTGCATTGTTATATTGCATCTGTATTTCTTCTGAAAAAGTCCTCTCGTCTTCTTCTCTCGCGTTCCTGCGTACACCTTCTCAGACGCTCATAAGTTCCCTCAAGGTTGCTTGCGAGCTGCTGACGGAGGACGAGGAGGGCGGTCCTGCCAGGATCCCGTTCGACATTTTTGTCAAACTCTACACCTACCTGGCTCACCTGGAGGGGGACATGCCACAGGATCACACACAACCCGCATCAGCTGGCGGCCTCTCTGCGGGCGGATGCAACACAGTGAAATGTGCAATTTTCATTTGACTTTTTGGCATTCAACACTTCATTTTTATGATTTGTTTCCAGCAGTATTGCCTATAACGTAACATTGTTGCTTCTTTTATTACATTTGTAAACATATTTAACAATTTTTAACGTACAATAGGATGACTTTTCATGAGTTTTCCTATAAGTCCTATTCACCCACAGCTTCTAATTGCATTTCACTTTTTTTTGTTGTTGAAAAGAATCAATATCCTATGTCAAAATACGTCATGTAGCAGTATCAATTGTGGTAATACTACCACTGGAGGTACTAGTCATTATAGTAAGAGGCTCTAGTTTTTGAAAGAGCAATACAGATTTTTTTAAAACAGCTTAATTCTGGCCTTCATGGTTGAGGTACAGATAATCAGAGGGTTTTTCTTTAATTATGAATTGGAGACTGAATGTTTGTCCTTCGAGCGAGAGAGAGAGAGAGAGAGGGAGAGAGAGATTTTTGTATTTTTAAATTTTTTTATTTATTTATCTAACAAACAAACAAACAAACAACATTATATGGAGGGGGCTCCACTGATTGTCCAACGCTGTTCACCTGTGTGAAGGGGAGTGGGGGGGAGGGATGAGAGGGTGAAGCAGCTCAAAACGGAAATAGAAAGAAGAGAAAACTACAGCTTAGAAGAACATTACAACGGTTTAACATTTACTGGAATGCTTAAACAGCATTCAAACAAATATGAAATCGTTGAGAAGCCACACAAAACCCAAAGAATGTGACTATTTTGTGACACCTACCTTATCCTTAAGGTGAGGAAAGCAACACGTGTGGTCGTTTCTGCTGTCTCTTGGAATAGCTGGTTTCCTCAATCCTTTAATAACGGGCAATGTTACTGAGTCATCCCACTTTGGCACAGATTTCTTTGGAATAGTTGTCTGCTGTTGGCTACCTGTGCCTTTCTTCTGTGGAATTGGTGGAATCGGTGGTAAAACACTTGTTTGTGGTGCTGCTTGTACACGCGTAGTTGGGCGTCTAGAAGGGGGATTGACAGCTGGATCTTTAGGTGCTGACTTTTGGGGAATTGTCGGTAGACGTTTTTCTGGTGTCTTCTTGGCGTCATGAATGGTTCCTTTACTTTGCTTTTGACTTGTGGCTGGTAACATGGTAGTCTTGTCTTGGGTATTATTTTTCTTTCTTCCTTTGGTCTTTCTGTTCTTGCTGGCGTTGGTTCACTGCGTTCTTTAGGTTTTTGTGGTAACACGCTGCTGGCATTTTGTGGCTTCCCCCTCGTGCCGATTGGTAGATTCTTCCTGGATTTCGGGGGCACATCTGCTGGAGCTTTAGGTGATAACTTTCGTGGTGTTGTTTTCTGTGTGTGTGTTCCCGGTGTCTTGTCGGCAACAGCAGGGGTAAGAGGTACAGGCTTCTTTTCTTTAACCCCAGTTGATGGTGCATGTTCACTGATTGCAGATTCCAAATCTGGGAAGAGAAAAACATTTCAGAAAAATAAAATTAGTACACAAGATTTAGCAATAACAATTTTCCAGCTACAAGGCCTTAACT